ACATGTTTTCATAGTCATAGTTTTCCTTGGTGCAGTAATTCTTTCTCTAGGTCCCTTTTATGGCATCACATCTGCTGTATGTAGCAGTCTACTTTTTTACTCATAACGAAGTCCATAGCTGTACTGAACAGGAGAAGTGAGATAATGCAACCTAGTTTCACACCAGTTTCTATGCCAAAATATTTGCTGAAATCTGTGTTTATTTCAACTGTGCACAGTGCACCTGGATATAAAGCCTGGAGGAGGAGGAGGAGGATTTTTGTTGGTGTACTGTAAGACTTCAAGATGTGCCAAAGTGAATCATGATGGCAGCTGTCAAATGTGGTCTTAAAATCTCTGAAATCAGTGAGGAGTGATTTTTTACCTTTCCTTGCTCTTTTTGCTGATGTTTCTTAAGGTGAAGATCTAGCTTTAATTAAGTTTCTTAATTTGTATATATAAAAATTCCCCCCGTTGAACAGAGCAGACAACAAATCATGCCACCTAAATATATTCATATGTTAGCATCTAAGAATGTGAAGATCTGTGAAAGAATTTATTTTCTTAAGGCTGAATTGTGAGATGATTGCACGTTCATTAAGGTAGATTAATCTGAACTGGAACAAAGCAGCCTTTTTCCAAAATAAGAAAGTCCACAAACAGGCATTCAGGAACAGCTGTTCTTAAAATTCACACTTTGTCTTCATTTGAATTTACTGATGCTTGAAGACAAACCTTTTTGGTAGTGTCCAGGCTTCTCACTCAGTGTATAACCCCTTTTTGTATAAATATTTTTGCCAAATTCAGGTGGCTGCTCTCTAATGTAGGACAGACAAACCAATAATACAGAGTTAAAAGAAAGGCCTTACAGTGCTTTAGCTACTCTGTGGTAACTGTTTTGTGTGTCTACTCCTATGCCGTTATAAGCGGAAGCTGAAGCACAGTAACTTATGCCACAGTGGGTGTGTCTATACAAGATTTTTACTACAGAGTTGCCTAATTAGCTCCACAGTAAATATCTCACTTCTACATGTGCAGTGCTCTTAGGTCTCAGGAAACTAATAAACTCCACAGTGGGGGGTAATTCTTATAAATACAAGTACTATCTTACTGCAGTTATTTGCTGCACAGCAGCACAGATGCAGATGCTGACTCAGGCATTAATTGTGCCCGGTCAGCCCATCCAGCAGGGGACCACACTCATGCCTACTGCCTAGTCACATGACCTAGCCAGCTCCTCCACTGCCCAACACAGCCACCTGCTGCCTGGGAGGACATAGAGAGAGGACATCAGGGAGGACACTTGCAAGCTATTGTTGAAGAGAACACAAAGGCAGAAGAGGCAGATTATTCACTCCTGTTTAGATGCTGCAGTGACTAGGACTCAAAACCCTGATCAAGGCTATATAAGAAGCTTTGAGAGTACTTCTCTAAGAAATCCTTTTCTGCAACCAGGAAAAATACTGTCAGGGTAAGAAGGGAATATTGCCCCTCTGAGTTCTAGATACTGGCCACCTATACAAGATCCTAGATTTAAGAGGCAGAAATCCTCTTGCTCAGTTATGGAAAAGGGTAGCTTAAGGTCCAGGCCTGGCCACAATATCATAGATGCCTGCTTGTTAAGAGTTTTGTGTAACACCCATCACTGGTGCTTCAGCATTGAAGTTTCCTGTATGGGTGTCATCAGTGTGGACCTCTTTAGGACCTTTTCCTTTTGTCTGCCCATCATTTCAACATTCTCATGACTAAAAGCCCTTCTGATTCAAAAAATTTCAGCTGTTTTCCTAGTGCTCGAGTCACTTGTGTTGTTAGGAATAAAAGTTTCACAGGCAGTACTGACAGCTACCCTCAGCTCAATATGAAACTCCTGAGACATATCTTTTAGGTCTCACACTAAACTTTTGCCTGGCACTCCAGCTAGAATAACTCCTCTTAATCCCTAGTTTTCAGAGAAATACTCTAGGGCACTTGCTTCCTACCTTACGTCTAGGAATTCTGTAAAGAATATCACTATAATTAGCCCATACTCCATAGCTCTGTAACCATTCCAGTAGCACACGGGGCTTTCCAAACAGCTAGGAAATCAGCATCTAGAGCTCTCCATCCAGAATAAGATCTAGAGCTCTCCACTGAAGCAGTGGGTGAGACCTCAAGTGACTCAGCCAGCACTCCTCTAGCCAATGATTCACAATGCCAAGACAGCGAAGAAGAGGATATGCGTATGCCTGTATTGCTTGATGGAGTTATGCTTCTTGCTTCAACTATGATGATGTTTGATGATGACAAAACCTTTCAAGCATAGTTGTATTGCATGATGAACCCTGTGTATGATGAACCCTGTGTAGAGTTCTATGGAAGTATTCTGGGAGAAATCACATAGGCTTCTGGACTTTCAGGCATCAGATTTTGAGCCTGTGCTGCAAATATACTGTGCGAGGAACATTTTTTTGTTCGCAGTGTGCCTCTTGCAGCATCTCAAACTGGTTTGGGATGCTGCAAGAGGCACGTGTGCGCTCGTATGGATGCTCCTGTAGTGTCTAAAACTGTGTGCAACAAAGGAGATATCTATAGGATTTGAACAGTTTTATATTTATCATTTGTCTGGCTCAGTGGTAGTGGCAATGGCTCATGAATGGGCCAACAAGGACCACCCGCTAATAGTTCCACTCCCCTTGAAAAAGATGCAGAAAAAGCTGGACTTGTTTTGGACTTGAATGGTAGTGTTGGAATGATGTTGTAGCCATGATGGGGCAAGAAATATGCAAGAAGTCAGGCTTTTTATATAGCTAATAGATTTAATTGAACCAACTGCATGGCTGACAGAGATTTAGACAAGCTTGCACTGCAGCTAGGACTAAGGTCTTTGGGGTGTCCCCTAACTTAACCATAACTTACTGAGATATGGTGAATGCTTAGGCTGTATCTACCCAGAGACTAGCTAATTGACTATCTACCTACATTAAGTTGTGACATGAGATTTCTAAATTAGACCTACTATTGAGAGCTAGAATCCCACCCCAAGCTGCTCAAGCAAGTTTTGCAGTTTCTTTGAAAAATGTTCTAAGCTTAGAGACATGTAGGGCAGCAACAAGGAATTTGAGGCACACACTTATGCAACACTATTCCATGGGCGACTGGTGCCTCCTGAGTCGGGGGGGCACTTGCCCCCCCAGCGGCAAGTCAGCAACCGAGGAGGCGGGGAGAGGAGTCCCCCCACAGATGATCCCACCAACCAGCACTTCTGGGTGAGTGCGATTGGCCATGGGAGAACCATGGGGATTGCTTCTCCTGGCACCCCCACTCCTTGGCCGGTGCTCTCGGGGGAGGGGAGCACACCAGCACTGTCATCTGCCCCCCATGCCTAGGAACGCTGGCTGTCAGGGGCTGTACCAGCACTTTCAGGGGGTGCACATGCACCCCGGTTTACCTCCTACGCATCACCACTGCACTATTCTATAGTAGGAACATCAAGATCTGATGCCCAATTTGGCTAGGGTGTCTTACAGTCACTGTTCAGCCAGACTCTAAGCACTCATCTCCCACTGTCATTGAGTGGGAGGTATATGGACACAGGTAGAAGAAGGAATGGTTCTGTTCCTTAAAGTATTTGTGGGGACATATGATCTGCTGTATTAGTTTCCATTAAGAGTTAACTGGAGCCTGGTGGTACTTTACATATTAGCATTGCATTGCTGCAGAGCATCTTTGTAGAAACATCATGCTTATGCATTCCTTAACTCCTGTTAGATGTTGTGGCAGAGTATAGAATGTCCAAGTTTGTTGGAGGTATTCACCAATCTTCTGTGTCCCCAAATTTGAGATCATGGTCTTCTGTCCAAAAGGGCAGTGAAAGAGGAGTACCCACATTTTCTTTTTGTCTAAAACTCCCAACCCAACTGCAACATTTTCTTAGAAGCTAGGGCCATCCTGTACTTATCTGCTGAAACAGCTGACTTTCCCGGACAACTTCTACTAATTTGCTTGGACTCTTTCTAAACAAAAATCGCCATTGCAGTAACAGTAAAAAATTTGTGCAAGTGTTAAAATAAATTCTACTTTATAAATGTATTAATAGGCAATAGGTACCAAAGGCTAATTTTTGGAATGGAGTAATTGGGAGAGTGAGAACAATTGTGTTTGGCGCAGAGAGGTTTCATAGCGTTTGGGAATCTACTGCATGTATTATATCCAGCATGCTACAGCTGATAATACATGAAGTTAAGCGCCAACAAAGTAATGGTTATTACCCCTTTCAGTCATACCACACTAAATGCTTTGTGGCGCTACCTGATGACATTCTGAAGTTTACTCTTTATCTCCACTCTCTCATGTCACTTAAAGATCTATTGCAAGAGCTGAGTGCACTGAAACGATGTTGCCCAATCTTCTGGCTCCATAGGCTGGATAAGTAGTACAGGGTTGGTCCACTGGCCAGATCCTGCCAGGGTCAGCACACAGGGTCTGTCCTTAGGCATGATCCAGCAAGCTGGCCCAACCTTATGTGCCTGGATCTGGCCACATGCTGCACTAACTCTGTGTGCCTGAGTCTGACTGTACACCAACACCATCTAGCATGCAGGACCCTGTTCTCTGACCCACAGATCTCCCCATGGAAATTTGACAGCACGGGAGTGGTGATTACTACTGCCACTGCTCCCCTGCCACCGAATTTTCAGGCCCTCGGGGAGCCCAATGGGCCAGATGGGAAGGCTCCACAGGCTGGATCTGGCCCATGGGCTGGGGGTTGAACACGCCTGAGTTGGGAGTATCTCCCTAAACCAAACTTCCATTTGAAACCTGGATTTTTATTTGCTGAGAGCAATAAGCCTGTTACTAGTTATGACCAAAAAATTTGTTCTGCAGTTTTTGGTACATTTTATTCCAATAAGTAAATAAAAGATATGAGTTCATTAAACCATTTCAGAATGGTCTGGGAGCCTTTCTTGGCCAAATGTAATGTCACATACAGTTTTATTCTTCAGAATATATTTTGAAATTTTCTCTTTCTTTCCTCCTCCCAGGAAGGTCAGTCAGATATTTTTTACAAATTTTGGACTGCAGTAACTCAGACTCTTTCATCTCAGTTTCAGACAGCAACAGACTGTAAGTAAAATAGTCAGCATGTGTGATTTGTGATGTCTTATATAGTTATTATGAAGATATGTCAATTCAATAAGCATTTGCTCATTATTTCCAGTATCAGAGCTACAGCTGTGGTTTCTCTTCAAAATAATGGCTTGGAATATGCTGTTTCTCTTCAAAAATATTTTTTCATAAGTGTTGATAGATGTATTTGTGATCATCACACTTTTCCTCAAGCTGTTATTGTGTTATTCAGGAAAAAATGTACTTTGCTTTATTAAGCATCCATAATCCAGTACAAAAATGTAGTGCCTTTTTTTTTTTGGCAATTGT